TATAGATTTTAAAATTCCAACCTTTCTTTTGTAACTATGATTGGAGAAGAAGTTAAGTATAAAGCTTTCTATACACATCCCTGCTTAATTTCTCACCTGCTCTTATCACAAATACATCTAAAAAAGGTAAAGTATCGTTGACCTCCATCTCCATTGTCAACTTTATATTGCAATCAATCTGGTTGATTATAAAGAAGAAATTATCTTAACTATCCTTTCCATGCTGTCATTTGACAAAGTAGTCAGCCATGTATCTTACTAACAGTTTGGGTGTCAATCTTAACTCTTCCATGAAGTGTTCCTCCATTCTTGACATGCAATTATTAGCCAAAATGGGAGCCAAGCAAAATCCCATTGCTAGGCCTTGCACCTGTTCATAAACTCTATCATTAAAGGTGAAGTATATGCTGCTCATGGATAGATTAAGAAACCTTAAATTGAGCTTTTGCTCAGATTTGTCTCCACAATCATTTCTGGGTGTTCATCTAGTCTGAGTGTAAGTGCTTTAATAGCTTTATGAACTGGGATGTTAGTATACATTGATACCACATCAAGGCTAACCAAAAGATCCTCCTCTTTAATACCCTGTTGATCTATTAATCTAGCAAATTCATAAGAATTCTACACTGAATCCTTAAACCAGGACATTTGTCTGATAACCTCTTTAAATCGCGGATAACTCAGGTAAGTTAACAGGCTCATCCCTACCTACAATGCATACTCTGGGAAAATTAAGCTCAAGAAACAAATATATTTCAAAAATCCTTTATTGAATTTACGTTGGTATACCTTCTAGGTAGCTTGAAGAGGCTGGCCTTACCAGAAGCTGTAAGGGGATTGTTTTTGAAGTTTGATTGTAGATTTGGGCAAATAGATCGTTGGCGCACTACCCTGTAGTCTTGATGAATTCTTGCTGGGCTTTCGTCCATCATGTAATGGACATCGTCAAGGCAGGGCACCGTGCCTAACAAAGGCAAGAATGGTGGTCCTCTAAAAACCCAATTTGATCCACTTAATGGAGCATCTCATGTTTTGGTTGGATATCCTATGCTTTCCTGAATGCTGTTGAAAAGTCAAGTGTGGCATGTATGTCACCGGACAGCTGCGTCCTCCGCTGTAATATTATCATTTTTTGTTTGCTCCTGCAATGGCGCCGCATGTGATTGCTTTGCATTGCACGTGTCTTGTGTGCATTCAGTGCTCGTGAGGCGCGTGGGGTTTGAGAGTGAAAACCAGATTTGAGGCTAATCAACCCTCTCCTTTTGCTCCTTTATAGCAGCAAAAGTAGTTTCAAATAATTTCCTACATTCATTTCTTCTATTCAGGATGTTGGCTGTTGTGTTGATTTCTATCCCTTTCATAATCTTCCGCTTACTGGTATAGTCTCCATATTAGCCAAGCGTTTTACATTATAACAGTCTGTCCTTCGTCCTGCGTAGGTTATGGGTTCTAACTTTTAGATCAGCAGACCTTTACAGGATGTTTTATGTTCAGATAACCGCTTATGTTTCCCCACTAAAACTCTATCATATGAACACAAAACTTTGCAGCAGCTCCATTTGGAAAATGGGTCCAAACTTTTTCTAAAAGATGAAATTACTGAGGAAAGGGATATTTTTTTCTTAAAAATTGTCCTGATGTCCCCCACTTCTTCAGTTATCCATCTATCATTTTGAGAGCTGACACGATGGCAACATCGGGACCCTAGTCGAGTGATCTAGCTGTCTATATTGCCATGAATAGGTGCTTCTCTCCATCCTATTTGCTGGTAATTTAAGTAAATTTTCAATTAATCCTAAAGAGTAGTCAGTCTCAACAAATATTTTCCCTAATATCCTCAGATCCTGCTCCCGATGATTAAAATCTGCAAGACGCAGGCTACTTATTATCATGGATTTCATAACTCCGACTTTAATTCCATAAGTATGGCTTGAAAAGAAATGTGAAAGGAAACCTACATTTGTGGATTTCCTATACAATTCGGGCTCAGTTTATTTCCCTCTTTGCCAACTAGGACATCTGGAAAAGATAAATAGTAGTTGTTTGACCTTGTTTTGGCAATTTATTCATATTGACAGGAAGACCTAAGGGAGCACACCTTGGCTTCCTGCCAATATGACAAAGTTGCAAAAACAAGGTCAAACAACTAGTATACATTGAAAGGAGACTGTGACCAAAATAGAGGCCACAACATCTTGGTCTTCGCATTTACGTAGAAAAGATAAACGTTCAACCTTTTATAGTTCCATGACGAACTTGATATTTCATTCGATTCCATTAATCAACGTTAGGAAATCTTCTATACTCATTTTGCCATGCTGCCATACGGCATAGTAGTCATCTATGCACTTAACCCATAATTTAGGGACTAAAAGTACTTCTTGTATCAGACGAATTTCTAGATGTGCCATGTGATTATTTGCAAAAATCTCCGAGTCATGGCATTTTTCAATAAGGAACTCTTATTAATTCGTTCAGATAATCGTTGAACAGATGATAGAAAGTAGAGATTTGCTACTTAATTTTGATGTAGAGTCAATCTACACCAACATCGGAGTCTAAGTAGCTTCGCTTACAGGATTTTTAGTGTGTATCGATTCTACATCAAAACTAACAAGCAAATATGAGATGTATTCAGCCTATTTCGTTGAGAGTGATGAATGACTGGTAGTTGAGGTGACATAAACCTAGCCTTAAAGCAAGACAACGTTATGCATGATTTGCGTCAACAGCTCTCTCTATTTCTCGTTTACAAGCGCACTATCGAGACTTCCAGTAAATCAGTTATATGAGATGTATTTACCCTATTTTGTTGAATTTTCCTACAATGATATGGGAAGAGCCGGCGTTTTCATTAAATTTCACATAACCTTACTCCATTCATAGCACTGTGGGAAAATTCAACTACCATTTTTTCATCACTCTAAACCAAATAGGCTGAATACATTTCATATTTGCTTGTTAGTTTTGATGTAGAATCGATACACACTAAAATTCATGTAAGCTGAGCTACTTAGGCTCCGATGTTGGTATACATTGACTCTACATCAAAATTAAGAAGCAAATCTCTACTTTCTATCATCTGTTCAACGACCATCTGAACGAATTAATAAGAGTTCCTTATTGAAAAATGCCATGACTCGGAAATTTTAGCAAATAATCACATGGCTCATCTAGAAATTCGTCTAATACAAGAAGTACTTTTAGTCCCTAAATTCTGGGTTAAGTACATAGATGACTACCATACCATAACGCAACATAGCAAAATGAGTATAGAAGATTTCATAACGTTGATTAATGGCATCGAATGAAATATCAAGTACGTCATGGAACTATAAAAAGATGAAAATTTATCTTTTCTACGTTAATACGAAGACCAAGATGTTGTGGCCTCTATTTCGGTCGCAGTCTCCTTTCGATGTATACTAGTTGTTTGACCTTGTTTTTGCAACTTTGTCATTTTGGCAGGAAGCCAAGGTGCGCTCCCCTTGGCTTACAATGAACGAAAAATCGTAATACGAAGCATAACTGTTTTTATTTATCTATATATCTATATGTATTTTGGGTTTTGGTTATGAGTATATTCAAGGCGAACAGTGGAGCCGGGAGGTCTTCTTGACCTGGTATTACCTTTAGGCTTTTCAAGAATGACTTCCATCTCGATGATGCCAGTTTTTGCCTGAAACGAAGGAGGATTTCTTGTGAACTGCATCAACATGAATGTAGTATTAAAGTCAAACGGCTGCAGAACAACATAAATCGGGCGTCGTCTTTCATTAAGATCAACCAACTAATACCTTCATCATGTACTTTCATACCAAGTGATAGTCTTCCTAACAATGCCATCCAAAAATCTAATCCTTTCAACTCTATCAAACAGCGTGAAGGCAGAAACAGATGATCTCGAGATGCATAGAATGATTTGGCTAGCTCATATTTATGTCTATATATATGTGTGTGTATGTGTATGTATGTTTGGGTATTAAACCCCAAAGGTAGGTTTGAGTAGTTATGACGGAGCGAGGCATCATGCCCGGTTCATCAAGGTCTATGGATTACGTTTGACTCAGGCAAATGCATCACTCTATGATATCAGACGTATGTTTGGATAAGTTGATGAGTTGATCGTCCGTCTCAAATCATATGTTCAAAAAATGTGACTTTGTAGGATATAACCAAAAAGAGTATTCGATTGGCCTACCGTTTGTGGATAACTCAAAACCTCTTATAGCCTTCAGTCTATCAATCAAGCATAGATAAGGAAACAAGATCTTTTGAGACTTTGTGTTCTTCAAGATTTACTGATATTTCGAAAGCCTACTTCATGTGAATTCAAGCATAACATTTCACGTATTCCCGATTCACTTGATTTCAATAGTCCCTCTTATTCAGAGCCCTTTCTGTTTCTGCTGCAAATGAATGTCACCTGAGAGACTGTATCATAGTAGAGACATTCAACCGACCTACTCCTACATGTTGATGCAGTTCATGTCTTTGCCGGGCATGCCGATGAATCTGGTTTTCCCGTATGGCTGGACTTCCAGACCAGGGCCAGTCGACGATCTCGGCTTGGGCTAGGGCTGGTTTGTCACCAACTCATGTTGCTTTGTCACCTGGCCTACCAATTAGAGTGTGTGCTTAGGCCTACCCCGTGGGGCTGACTTTTAAGGACGGATTTATGGATCATACCGTAGCAACGCCTAGTCGTCCCTTAAATTTGGTTATTTTTTGCAAAACTTTGGCCTGTCTGCAGCATGAGAACCGACCCGGCCGAGGTTTCTTTGCACATTCTACTGAGCCTGTTGACGGTCAGGGCGTAGGGGCTGGGTGGGTATTAGGACCCGTTGAAACTTCAAAACTCATGCCAACGAGGTGTGAGACGGTCTGGAGACAGTCACTTTACCTGTAGGCCCATTTGTCAGTGGGTCTGCACTTTAGCTGGTGATCTGACGGAAATAGACGTCAAAGGAAAAGGGTCGGCTATGCCAACATATAAAGGTGTTTTTCAGGCAAAAAGGTGATAGAGCGGCAGATGAAAGTGGACCAAACGGAGGAAAAAGGAAGCTGAGATGGAGTCACAATTGATTTCCAACCTTTTACGCAATCAAAATCTAATCACATATGCACAGAATAAGGTTTCGTGCAAACAGGCCTAAAGAAGCAAAAGGTTACGAAAAATTTTAACACTTGACTATGACCTATAATAAGCGAAAAATATATACATAGATATATGGGCAGAATAACGCAAAATTTTACTACTGCAAAGCTATTATTTGTCAGTGTTTTGGTGACTTTCACTTCATATATATATATATTATTATTATTATTGTATACTAGTTTATTATTTAGCTAGGCTTCATTTTGTGTGAACTTATATCATGAAGAGATTCATTTGTCAATCTTACTAGAAGACTGCGGGGAAGCGTCCTCGACCTGGAGTTGTTTGATCTTGTTGGGACTTTGGAACTAGCAAAATCCTCGGGTCTCTCTTTTTCGAATCCGGCAAAAAAGTGATGAACTTTCAGCTGTCATGTCAACTGAGATGCATATCAGATCTGACACGAGTTCTGATGACGCTTGTCAAATGGCATAGTCAACGAAAGCTCGATAAAGTGTCGCCTAAATCGAGTGAGACTGGGTCAACAGGAAGGCAGCAAGAACATCATACCTAAAAGAGCAAGGGATATGCGCTGTTATATTCTGCTGAAGCCGAGTTACAAATCCCTTCATCACAGAAATTTCCACAAAAAGAAAGGTTGTACCAAAAGTGCATCAAAAACCGGTTACTCTAATTATTTAGCATAAACACCCTAAGGCTGAATAGGCAGTCTCGCGTTAGCGTCGTGACAAAAGAACTTACATTTTGTATTAAAAGTTCGACCAAAATGATGTGAAAATCGGTTTGAACTGAAGCTGATGCTTATGACTATCAAGTACAAGTCGGAGACTATTGAGCAAAGAACTTCTTCGCCCAATCCAATAGTCCCAACGGAAAGAAAAGCCTCAATTCAGCTACGGTTATGGCTAATTTAAGAACTTCCTACAAAATTTCATGCAAATTGCAAGGTCTGTTGTAATGCCTCTATCGTGAGAAATGCTTTTTTGTGCGGCCTTTTAGCAATATGATCATATCCGTTCGCATGATCGCTAATCTCATTGAATCGCCCTTATTCTAGTACATAGTATCCTGCTCAAGTGCATTAATATCTCTTAATATGCTGCAATTTGCTAGTTACTGTACGCCAAAGAGCCCTGCCCTTATTTTATCCCATCTTTCATAGTCTAAAAGTAACATAATTTGGCGACTTCACAAGGCCAAGTTCTCGACGGCCTAATTTTTACTTCACTTAAACCTCTGCTCTTATGCAAATGCGGAGCCTAGAGTCACAAAATATTTAGATTAGCCCTCTGGTCCGTATCCTTTCGCTATCGTCGACTTTGCCAGTTCTGCTACCACATTTAAGCGCCTTTCGATCTGATGACGCTTTTCAGTACAGCATTTTACTTGCATCTCATCAAGCGATCATGCCAATGAAGAAGCTACTAAGCAAGAACTTTTCGATTGAATTTGTCATTGGTGACCCTTTTAAACTCTTTTGACAGAGAGATGTTATATTAAAATCCTATTTCAGAGAATTACATGTGCTATTAAAAGTATGTCAACCTGAGTTAAATCAATAATCACGCAAAATTTTAATACAGCAAAGCTGTAATTCGTCCGTGTTGTTATGACTTTCATTTCGTTTGAAAGTTACTTATGAGTAGTTTAATACGTTATCTCACCAGACGACGGCTGATTCTCGAGTCTTTGCTCTTGATTTTTCATTCTGAGTAACGCAGCCCACGACAAATCTTCTTTCGATTTTATTGAAAAGAGCCTTAGATTTCGTCTGCCATATAAATGGGCAGGCATCCTCAGAGTTGGA